AAAGATTCTTTTATGATTTCATTTTTAAAAATATTTTATTATTTTTATTTTATATGTATGTGTGTATTACCTTAATCACTGAGCCATCTCTCCAGCCCTTGATTAGCTTTTTGATGTCTCCTTTTCTAGTATGAAAACACAGCTGTATGTCTGTAAGCAATTAAATAAAGAAAGCCTCCCCAAAGAAAGACAAAACACCTAAACAGAAGGGAAAAAGGCGAATGCAAGGTGAGCTTAAAGGAAAAGCCCATACAACATTTAGAGATGAGCTGACATGGGATCCATGAAATAAGCATGTGGCATGAGAAGGACGAAACAGATAAGGAAAACGAGAAATTAAGAACACTAGAGCTGGAAGAAAACAGAAGGCTCTAGGAGTAAACAAATTAATAAAGTGGAAAGAAAAGGCAAAATGGAAATCATGCAGTATATCTGAATACCTAGAAAAGTGCATTAAGACTTTGTTGAGCTGGGGAGATGGCTTAACAGTTAAGAGCACTGGCTGCTCTTGCAGAGGACCTCGATTCTGTTCCCACCACAAACGCTGCAGTTAACAATCATCTTTAACTCTAGTTCCAGGGGATCTGAGACTTTATTGAAAGTGTAGAAAGAATTAAAAATAAATATACAGGGTTGAAAAGATGCCTCAGTGGATAAAACACTTTCTGTGTAAGCAAGAGTATCTGAGTTCAAATTCTGAGCACTCACATAGAAAGCCAGGCAGGCTAAAAGTACCTATAACGTGTGCGATGTATGTGTATGTAGTGTTAGGAAGAAAGGAGAGCGGCATGTCTTGGAAACTCCTGGTCAACAGAAAACTACTACAGTTTACCATATTCCCTTGCAAAAGAACACTTTGTAACCATTAAAAAGATAGATGATGGGCTGGAAAAATGGGTCAGCAGTTAAGATCACTTGCTGCTCTTACAGAGGACATGAGTTCAGTTCCCACATCAAGTGGCTCACAACCAAATGTAACTTCAGCTCCAGAGACTCTAACATCCTCTTCTGACCTCTATATGCACACCTCACATGTGGCATACGCTCACACAGACATACACATAAATAAAAATAAATCTTAGAAAAACAATAAAGATGATTAATTTTTTTTTTTTTTTGAGGCAGGGTCTCCCTAGCTGGCCTGGAATGCACTATGTAGACCAGGCTGGCCTTGAATTCACAGAGATCCACCTGCCCGTCTCCTGAGTGCTGGGATTACAGATATATGCCACACGCCCAGCTTAAAATGATTAATTTTTTTAAAAAGAGAGATGCTCCTATGAGGAAAGGTATCCACAACCAAAAGTCAGTATGTACAGTGAGTGAAGAAGAAAAAGCAGGTTATAAACGGAACTGGACATACACATACAGGGCGATGAAGCATGTCTGGAGAAATGTATGACACTGTTAGTGGTCATAATCTGGGAATGCAATGTATAAATTTTTTTTAGTATTTTAGGTCTTCCATATTATTTCAATCATTTGTTTTGTTTGCAATGAACCTGTCTTATCTCCACTGCTTTAAGAAACCAAAAGCATGCACTAAGCTGAGAATCACAAGCATTAATGGGATAGAGTTGACAGGCCGTGGAGAGACAGATGTGGTGGCAAACAGCTGTTAATCCCAGCAATAGGGATGTTGAGGTAAGAGAATAGTGAGTCCTGGGCTGCAGAGCAACACCCTGAACCAAAAAATGGGTATATGTGGAACCTGGAAAATAAATAAAGAAGCCCTAGAAGACGCTAGGTAAGAATTTTTAAAAAGTAAAGAACCCTGATTAGCAAACAACAAAGAAATTCTAATAAATACAGTAGAACATGTATAAATATAATCATGGAACTACCCAAGTAATTCATTAGAAAATGCACATTAAGGGGCTGGAGAGACGGCTCAGCAAACAACACTGGTTGTTCTTGCAGAAGACCCAGGTTCAAATACCAGCACCCACATGGCAGCTAACAACTATCTATAACTCCAGTTCCAGGGGATCCAACAGTCTCTTCCGTCCTCCATGGGCACTGTACGACATGGGTGCACTTACCTACATGCAGGCAATACATGCATCCACACAAGATAAAAATAATAAATAAAATAAAAGGCTTCATAACAAGAAACATTGCAAGACAGAGTTGTTCCTTTGAGTTGTTGGCCGGGGTGGCCCAAGAGACTCCTAAACAGTAACCCAACACAGAACTGGGAAAATGAACAGCAGACCTCAATCTTATCTAAAGGAATATTGGCGACTGATTGCTGCTAGATGAGGACGAGCTGATCTTCCTAAAACAAGGAACTCTAGATAGGCTGACTAGACTCAGTGGATGGACAAGCAATGGGGAATGGCTGGGGGCACCAAC